CCTCCGGGACTTGCATGGGATATTTAAGTTTGGCACCATTAAACAACCACAAAACAAGATCTAGTAAAGCAACACATCTGGCAGGTTTGTACGTAGCAGCATCACACAGTTACCTATATCATGGGGCCAGGGAACTTGCTTGCTTTCTCTAGCTAATACACCTGGCTCTTCATCTACCACAAGATTTAAAACAGCAGCGTAGTTGTAGATGTGATTGTCTAAAGATATGAGCAAAGCTTTGTAGGGAGAGTTAATCTCTCCTATTAGGGAAAGCTGACTTTCAGACATAAGGCTTTTTCACTCTTCCCTCTACTATTTACCCAATGAAAAAAAGAAAAAAAGCATGCAAGTACATAGGTCCAAGCCTCAGGCTTAGGAGAAAAAAATATATATAGCAAAACAAAACAGGAAACTAGCGTATGTATAAAAGTCATGGCAGCATGTTGCTCAGTAGCAAGAAAGGTGAATGATTTTTTTTTTTTTTATTAAAAAGAAAGCTCCTGAAAACCACAGCTTTCCTAACTGAAAACCACACACATACACACACTTGTCACACTTGTACTTGTCACCACTGTACCCCTTCTTCCTCTCCACAACGTGTCCTGCATGCTAAAGTCTCTGCATCTGTTTGGATGCTTGATCTTTTCTGGCAACTTCTGTAACTACATTAATATTCTTTCTCTAAGCTTAGAAAGAAACCTCGGCAAGGAAGAGCTCTAACCTTTCTGTCCACAGGAGCACTCTGATTTTCATCTGGAGGTGAGAAAAAAGGGGGATTTGTAATTCAGCCTGGTCAAGCAGTTATTTTTCTGTTAAGGAACATCAAAATGTTTCCCACCATGGGGGGAAGAGGAGGAGAATGGCACAAGGGTGGGTTTCCATGGAGACCCTCAGGTGAGTGCTGACACGGCTTCTCAAGCGGCGCCTTTCCCTGCACACCCAAACACGCGCAGGGCTGCGTGCTGGTGCAGCGCAGGTCAGCTTGCAGCAGTCCGTTTGTTCCAGCCAGCAAACAGACCCTCTGCCCCACGCGAATTAAAAACACGCATCCTACCTAAATAATGAAACCCATCTAAACAACACACCTTTAAAAGGTGTAAGGACAGTTGGCGCTTTGGGATTTCCAATTCCCCTAAACACTCTTTTCTGCTGTTCTTTGAACAGATCTCCATGCTTCCTTGACATTTATGTCACTCAGGTCAAAACAACTGTCCTGCAGCTGCACTGAAATGTTTGCTTCTTGTTCCACAGGGGAACAGGGAAGAGATGGGGAAGTTTTTGGAGAAACTGGCAGTGAAAAACCTGTACTGAATTAATATTATCAAAATATTTCATTTGCTCATGATTGAAGCTGACTCTTTTGGATAATGTTTCGAAATCTTTGTCAACAAATCTCACCGAGCCTGTTTTACAAATGACATTTCAATATGCAGTTGGATAAAACAATTTCCTTGATGTAAAAATGAATTTAAACTTTCGCTTCTAAAAGAAGGCAAAGTGTTGAGCCAACTGGTGAAATTTTGAGACTCAAAACATTAGGGATGATTTAGCCAGATCTAACTAGCACACCTCGATTTCTTAAGCATTAGAGAAGAAAATAAGACCACATAAACTCAAAAATCTCCTCATGAAGAGTAATCATTTCTGCCAAAAATCACAAGGTGCACCATTCACTCAAAAATAAAGCCACTTAAAGCTCTGGAGGGGGCAGCTCTCCTCTGGTTTTGCAACCAACAACAGACACTGAGTTACACCCCTGGGGCAGGTTGCTGAGATGATAAGGACAACGTTAATTTACAACTCTCTGGACTCCTTATCAACATCCCTTGTCTGGCTTTAGCATACTTTCTTGCTGGCTAAGCGCTGCCCATCAACTGCCCGTGGTGCTTTTCTCCAGACAGGAGTTGTTACCACAGCTGCTGGACCTTTCGGCTGCAGCTGGACCACTGTCCAGACATTTAGTTGTTCTCTTCACAGACATCTTCCAGAAAAGCACTGGCAAACTGCTCTCACTCACCCTACGGATTGATTCAAAAACAGCAGATCAATTTTGCTTCCTTTTTTTCCCCCACCCAACATATGAGCCACCACCCTATGGAGCAAAAAAGCCTTACAGAAGATTACTGGCACTTTACTCTATGGGCTGTGTGGCCAAACAGACCAGTAAATACTTTCAGCAGGTGATGGGAATGGTGCGATTCTTCAGAAGAGAAAAAAATTACATTTTCTTCCATCCCAGAAATACTTCACCCACTTGAACGCTACTTCTTTTTATTATGGAACTTGTATCAGCTGCCAAAATGGGTACATGTGAAACTACTGCCACTCCTGTAATGATCTGTTATATAGGATACACTAATTTGACTGGTATGTATGAGTAAAATTACAGTGGGGTTTCCAGCTGGAAGGGACTGCAAGTGAGCAGTTTATCATTTAAATGTATGGGGAGTAATTCAATCACAGGAGGCTGTTACCACAACACAACGCAGGGAAGAATAATCAACAGCAACACAATGGCCCCTAACTACAGCAAAACAGTTTCCAGCCCTTTCAGATGCAAAACAAAGAATAAAACAAATCACAAACAAAAACCCCTCCACACAGATAGGAAAGCTCAACAATGGAATCAAGGGGAAATAGGGGATATCTGCATCAGGCTCAATGGCATCCTTTCTCCCAGGCAAGTACCAGCTTTTTATGCCTGCTACAGCCACTACGGGTATGTGATGGTAACACTCAAAATCAGAGAAATCCGTTCTTCTGCTTACAGACCCACTGAGAGTGGGTCCCACTGACTCACACGGCCTGCAGTCTGATCACATTCTTCATTTGGGATTTTGACTTTTCTCCTGTCCTCACTCAGACTATCAACACTGCCATGCACCCAGATTGAGAGAGAAGGTCCTTCCAAAATTTTTAGTTAAGCTCTTTTCATCCTTTTGATAGTACTCCTCTCTTACTCTCCCTTCAGAAACACAACATCCCTCCAGAGCTGGGTCAGGAAAGCCTTAACGTGTGGGGCTGCAGAGAGAGTTTAAAGAGAAAAAGTGAGGGGAGAAATACTAAAAAACCCCAATGATATCCCCAACAAATCCAGCATCAGCAAGGACGCAGAAATGACCATGTTCTGTATCACTTTAAGTCTGCAAAAGTTAATGTACTGACAAGTGCCTATATCTAAATGTATTTTCAGGCAGAGAATCCATAGCATCAAGGTGTGTAATAATGCTCTGTTTTCCACATGAAAGGGAGTCCCTCCTTAAACAGGAATGTACCTCTACCATGAAACTGCTGGAAAAAGTAATCAGTCACGAATAATAGTCATAAAACCATTTTGATACTTAGCACTCCTCCATGGACAATATCATTATACATGGCTTAAACAAATCCCTCTAGCACACAGTTGCATCTTTTCATTTTCCTTAAAGGAAACTCAGGTAATTTATTTTTTCTTTCCCCTAAAATACATTTCATTTCATCTGCAAATTCAAGAAGCTGACTGGCTGAGAAAAGCCAAATTCAGAGCTTGTTGGGAAACTCCAAGGCCAAGTGTGAGACATTTAATTGCCTCAGGAATAAGTTTTCTACAAGATCCATCACTTATTCTGCAGAAGATCTGCAAAAAGGAGGTGGTGGGAGGGGGGGATGGAGATCCCCAGGTTAATGACTGTTCACATACCCTCCAGCTTTTCAGAACTTTCCCAGAAAAATGGCATTTACGTTGTAAAGCCATGTTGTGCACGATGCAGATCCAGGAACTGTAACCCCAGATGCACAATTCACGTGCAAACCAGCTAATTAACACCAGTCTGCCAGCTGCACCAGAAATCACAGCGGTGACCGGGGTATGAATACCACAGACTCAAATCAGATTTTTTTCACCCCTCACTGATGAAAACTACTTAATTCGTTAGGCACTGATGTTAACGGTGACATTTTTCTATTCTGAATGAAGTCTGTTCCAGTGCTTGCTGATACCTTCAGCACTGACCTTCGGCCGAGCACAGGAAGCATCACCCCTACCCGTGGGCAGAGCTAGTGAGGTCTCCCTGCAGCCCCTGGGGTCAGAGTAAGTGGGGTTTGAAAAGGGGGGGGAAAGAAACGTTTCCACTGTTTTCTGACTAGCGGGTAGTCTGATACAGATTGCAAGTGACAGTGCAAAATGGGTGTTTATGGGCACCGTCAGGCCTGGGAGAAGGAAGAGGGGAACCTGAACCAAATCTGACAGGTGCACCGGTGAGATGAAGATGCAGAAACTCTTCCCCTTTGTTGTAATTAGAGACACACACACCACACACACACACACACACACACAGAGTCTCCTCTGCAAAGCACCCTGCGAGACAGGAGCATGGCTACTTCAGTGACAACGCTGGTGAGAAGAGGAGTCAGCTTTTTCTAAATGCATTAGTAAACCAAAGAAAGGGTAATTTAGACTCTCAACTAAAAACTGCACCCTACTGCTGCCACTTGCTGGCCCCCTCCCCCCGATCCCCTGAGCAGCATCACTCAGATGATGCCGGAAAAGAAAGCAAAATGGCTCTTGGAGCAAGGCTTTAAAGAGAAACTGCAACGTGGTTTAGGTCTGCCATGGGGCTGGCGCTTTAGAATTGGGGGTTCAAGTGCTGCCGCTTCTCCAAACCAACAAAATAAGTGTTATGTGATGGGCAGGATCCCAGCGAGCTGCTGCCTTAAAAACACGGTTTCCAGAGGCACGCAGGGCTGAAGGTGCACTCTGTAGCCATGGCAAAGTTCTTCAAGAGACGTCTCTAAAGGCATACGGCACTGCAAGATGAGACTATAATTGCTGGGACTGTTCAACAGGCCGAGTAATTTTAAACGCAGCGCTGGAGTTTGGAATGGTTTTTCAAGAAAAGCAGAATGAGTGAATGAATGGGATGATTTTACAGGCAACAAATAGATTAATTCTCGCAGCAATGCCACGTGCAGCCTTTAGAGAAGAGCGGAGGGATTTGTGATTGTCCGTCTGTCCTACTCACCGGGCACCACTCCTTTGATGTCGCTTTCCATGTTCATCCTGTTCTTGTGCGTGAACTGAAGGATCAGTTCCTTGGATGCCTCAAACTGCTGTGTAGCCATCAGCCACCGAAGGGACTCTGGGAAAATACTTTAAAGATGGAAAACACGTTAGGGTCGCTTCCGAGTTTCTGTCAGAGGAAGAACTGATTATGTTTAGCTGCTCATTTAACTGTTCATGAGCTACATATTTATTTTCAAAAAGCAGGAGAATCACTTACGAAACAAATAAGAGGGAAAAGTTTCAGAATGTGCAAATTAATTACATTTTCTTTTACACTGATTCACAAATGATAGAGGAACTATCCTATCACCTAGAAATAGGACATATTAGAATTTTATAACATATTACGTGCTCTGTGTAATTGTTAATACAATTTTGAAAGAAGTGGGAGAAGGAGGCAGCACTGTCTGCAATAGACATTTGCTGCCAAGCAGGGAATGAATGAGATCTGCAGTTAACACACGGTAATTCAGACCAAAAAAGGAAAATAGCTGACAGAAGTGATTTGGATTCTCTTGTAAAGATGGAGAAAGGAAAGAGAACAATTACTTTTTAGGATTATAATGGAACAGATTTTTTTAATTTTTAAACATGTCAAAAATCTTCTCCCACATATGCAGGCTTTAAGCCGTTCTTTTCTACAGGTCAGTATTGCGTACGCTCCAGACAACATTCAGCTGTTGCTCTAAAAGTTTCCCCTAGTAAAGACAATATCATGTTAGTTGAGTTGCCTTAAAAATATATACATGCATACAGAGTTACAAAATAAAGAAGTTTATTTCCCATTCAGTTGTTTCCTTCAAGTGCTGATATTCACCTGAGTCATTGGTTTAACTGATTCTTCTTCCTTTTTTTTTTAAAATGAGTATTTTAATACAAAACCAAAAGAAGTATGTAGATCTTAAAACAAACAAAATCTCCCATACTTCTACAAATATGTAAACTTTCAGATCTGACTCCAAGCATATTTTTATCTTCCAAAAGACCTGAGAAAAAAATTAACAACTAATTTTAACTTCAAATACCTAATAAACCTCAAATTTACTTCAGAAAGCACTGATCTTTGCTGTGGGTGCTGCCTCAGTTCTTATACTTCTGGGCAGTGGACCAGGCAATTGCACCATTACGGTACTATCTTTTAAGGCTGATGCAATTTGGCAGACAGCTTAGCGAAACCACCATCCTTGACAGAGAAAGTTGTGTGTGTGGGTTTGTTTTTTTTTTTAAGAAGAAGAAAAAAGGAGAGAAGTCAGGCAGACTGCAATACAAATGATATCAGGCAATAAAAATACATAACAGCCATGATGACAGCCATTCAGCTTGACAGCTTATTTACTACCACTGGTGCTGCACAGATGCTTTGCCATATCCTCCTGCAAAAAGTCCTGTACTGCAAATGCATATTTGAAAAATTAAGAATTTCTTTGAATGCAAAAACTCCCTGTCCTTGGCTCCAGAGAGGGGGTAGAGGAAAGGACCAGCGTTTTACAGTTGAAGAAAAGAATGAGGGGTGGGTGGGTATGGGGAAATGTTCATCTCCTGTTACACAGCTGCTACTTGGGAGAGGAAAGGGAGAAGAGTGGGAAGGACATTGGGAAAAAAAATCCTAAGCCCAAGAAATCCTGAGAGTGAAGAATCCTTGACAAACAGAAAAAGGCCAGGCAGGCACCATGCATAGCTGGAAGGAGAACCACGATCCTGCCCCGATGCAGAGCAAACCCGTGCCCATGGAAAGGGTGCAGTGTGTCAATTAGGGGTCTGCCTCAGGGCAACAAGTCCAGTTATTACAGCTTTCTGTATTGGTGACAGTAAACCCAATCTAACAACACCAGAAAAGACTTGGCCACCCCTTCCCAGTCTTCAGTTCTGGTTAGAGTGAAGCAGAAGTTTATTTCAGATTATTGATACCTCTGCCGACCTTCATGGCATGGTTCTGTCAGGAGCTTCCTGCGTCCAAGGGAGAGGAAATAATCCCTCTGTGTAACTGGAGCTCCCCTTCCCTTGTGGCTCTAACACACAGACACACTTTGAAAGGAGCCTAATTTCTATCAACTTATTTTCATATGTTTGTAACCAACCCCTGTGCTCATATCCAGCTTACGTGGGTGCCTCTCTGCCCTTCCAGAGCAACCCGAGAGCTCGGCAAAGGCATCTGCTTGATGCACAGGTGTCCCAGCCCACCAGTCCATCCCTCCTAGACACATCTGCTTCCTCCTTACTCCCCATCCGTGCCGGGCTCCCCGCTCTGCTCAGCCATCTGCCTCCTGGGGATGGTACAGCCTGCCACGTGCACGTGGCCGGGACCAGAGCAAGTCTATAGGTGGGGGAGGGCTAAGGCCCAGCACGGAGGGGCAAACAGCTCTCACAGCAGGAGAGGGAAGCAAAGGGAGCAAGGGGGAGGCAGCACAGGGGCTATCGCAGCGTCTGCTGTTGGACTCACTGCTTAGGGTACACGATGGGGAATTAACAAGCAGTGCAGTTTTCCACTTCTTTTATTACAAATCCGTTTTCTTCCTCCATCTGTAACACATGCTGTGGGTCCACGCTCTATTCCTCAACACAATACCCGGGGAAGAGGGGAGGAAAGGAAAGAGGTAATAGAATGGTAGCACTTTCCAGAGAACATGCAACAGATGGAAGAGAAAAGCCTAAGAGAGAAGTGCATACTGTACCGACTGCCTAATTAAACAGGCATCCTAACCAGAGTCCGTTTCTGCAAATGCAAAAAACCCCGAGGAACACAAATCCTGTTACCACTATTTATCAAGCTGTCGCATCACACGTTATATAAGGGAGATCTATTTGCGTGATCTGCCTGTCCCGTCCAGCCAAAAAGCCACAAGCTCTTGCAGATTAGGAAATAAACATTAGCATTTCCTATTGCTTTCAGTGTCACCCAGGGACAACCTCTCATCAGGAACGTACGAGACCCTGACTCAGCCACCTGGAAAACGTGCTGCCTCCACAAGACTGCTGAGGGGTTACTGCTGCCGTCAGGCATCTTCATACTATTGCACCTACTTTTTGGACACAAATATCTATAAACATTATTTGATATTGGGTTCTATCCAGTGGTGGCTATAATGCTTTCCAGCTGGCGGGCATCCCAATAGGAGGTTTTGGAGCAGACCTGCACGTGTTTGTATGTATATAACATATGGCAGGTTTGGGAGAACAGTATTGTACATTAACAAGAACACTCTAGCTTATTCATCATCAAGATGAACACTGACAAGATGAGACTATTTAGATGCTATATGTCGGAAAATGGGGAGGAAAAAACCCCCACAACTGTTATCTTGCAAAGGACTTGTAACTTTCCTCCGTGTGCTGTGTTTTACCCTCAGCCCAAGCTGCAGCATGTCTACCTCTGTGAGCTTGGGCATGTCTACCTCTGTGAGCTTGGGGATAAGCGAAGAAATCCCAACTGAGGGTTAACGCGATGAACACAGGAGAACTCTGTAAGGCCTTCATGCATTAATAGAAAAATAAATATACAACTGTTAAAAATTCTTACATACTGTAACAAGTTTTTATGTGTTGCAACTTGTCAGGCATTACAACTAGCAGCTTGGCACCCCATGGTACATAAACAGCCTGGTCCTGCATGGTGTGGTGGCCTTTTTCCTCATTTTTTTCAGTGTAGGCCAACTAAATATTTTAGTCTTGTTAGAGTTATCTTTAAAACGAACGATCTAGTGTGTTGTTACTGTCGTGGTTTTGTACAACACTGCTCTCGTAAGCCTCTGTTGTGTTATGCCGCCACTGCGTGTCACTATTAAGACAGAACAACAATAAAGATTTTTTGAGAGAGTTAGAGAGTCCTGGTGGGGATGGACCTGGCACCGTCTGCAAGGTGACAGCCACCCTACTTATCTCAGGACAGCCGTACCAATGCCGCAGCGCTGCCAGTGCAGCAGGCAGAGAGGAGTGGGAGCAGCCGGGAGGGGAGGATTCCTTGCGGGAACGATCCCAAGCCGCTGCCCGGCACAGCCCGGCCGCCCAGCCTTCGGCACAGCGTGGGCTAATTTTGGCAAAATTGAGCAGGCAGTCTAGCTGAGGGCTGGCTAGCTCACACACAGAAGACGTCCAAGCGTGCTTGTTCGCAAGCTGACGCGTGTTATTTTTAACCTAGCTTGGCTAACCCAGGCCAAAGAAACCAACAGTGACAGCCCAGAACCACAATATAGGTTTTAATGGAAATATTTAGCTGTACCGGCACAATCTAACAACAGCTAGGGTGAGATGCATCTTCTCAGGAATAGTTTTCACCTCTAAAGAGGAAGCGACAGCCAGAATAATTGCAAAATACAACTTTGCTCAGCAAGAGAGGACCATCTCCCAACTTCCCACCATGTGGCAGCGTGTAACCTATGTGCGTGCTACACAAAATTACAAAATTATTATTTCATATTTCAAAGTCAAACCTTTGCAAAAAGTGAATGGAAGAACAAAGGGAAAGGCTGATACATATCGCAAAGCACACACACTTTCCGACAGTGAAGCACCACCCAAGTCCAGCATTAGGAGCTCGCGTTGCCTTTGACCTGACAGGAGGAAGAAATACTTACACCCAGTAGAGCAGCATCAGCACGAAAGGACAGATGATGACTGCCTGGAGGACCTGCCAGTCCCTGCAGAGGGCAGCCAGCCCCGGCATGAGGAACTGCCCTGCCATTTCGATGAAGCTCGCCACCATGGTGATCATGAACCGGTGCCCAGGAGGACAGAGCTCTATCCCTGGAACACAGAGCACACGCAAACGCATTAGCCTCCCACCAGCGAAGGCACCCACAGAGCATCTCTTTATGAAACTTCCAGGGATTTAATGTCATTCAAGACTTTTGCCAAAGTTATGCACGATCACATAAATCTTGTTTCCTCCTGTATTTAGGCTTCGAATACCCTAGCAGCTCTAGAGAAACCCATTAGCAGTTGGCTGTGGTGTGAACATTGCAAATTCCATACACCTATTGCGTCTCCTGCAGACCTGCTGTATCCTCATTGTCAGCTTTCCTCCAGTCTCTGCCTAGAGAAGCATTTTACCAAATTGTAAGATATTTGGTTTTTTAAATGGAATGCAGGGTAAAACACAATCCAAAGATTTTGGGTCGAGCCTTTTCACACTTCTCGGAGACGCCGCATGCCTTTCCAATCAGTTTGCTGGGAGGCAGAAGAGCACAGCTCTCGGTTGGATACAGCCGCCCAGCTCTTACGGGATGCCACTTGCCCACAGTTTAATATGCTACGACTCAGCCAGTTTCAAGCTGGATTTTGCTGAGTGAGTTGTTTCTGGGTTTGCTTTTTGTTTTTGCGATAGCTAATCTTGATCAACTTTCAAATGAGCCAGCCTTCCACCTGTCTTATCCTGTCCTCCATCCTTCCTTCTGCTGTGGGGCAATTTGCTACTATCACCGTCATCACTGGTTGTCTCGGCTGCCTTGTGGCAAATGAGATGAGTACATAAAAAGTTTCTTTAAATGCTGAATTCTGGCTACCTTTAATCAGTCCTCAGAAATGAGGATGCATTTATCAGCATTATAGCCTTAGAAAAAAAATAATCACAGAAGAAATAGCAGAAAAATTGAACTGCCTTGTAGAAACATATTCAAACAATTTTTTCATCAGTAGGATTGCGATAGAAGCCCCTATTTCATATTTCCCATTTGCCCACATTCACTTCTACAGATTTACAATTAAGCACAATAAACCTGCCACAAATGTTGGGTAGTACTTATCGGCATGCTGTTACAGAAACATAAGCTTGTAAACATTCATGATATGTTGCTATCAGCATTGTTGTTTTTCCTTGCGATATTTCCTATGGTTGTTTTAAATTAGAATTTAACAATTGTTAAAATTCTAATTGAAAAGCTATAAGATAATAGGAAGAGATGACAGCTGCTCCTTCATTCACTCCCTCATCAGTAGCTTGTTCAGCATTTATCGCTGTAACACAGATTTAAACTAGCTGACCAGGAACTAGCTTGTAGATCAAATGTGAGATTAAACACCACACATTTCCCTTCGCTTTCTTTTCAGCCAATGACAAAAAACTATAGATGGATTTTTGCCAATACAGAAGGAAAATATATCTGTTGTGAGGCAGCCCTAATTTTCATTAGCTTAACCACAAACACAGCAGCTTTGGAAAAGAAAGGGGGGAAAAACCCCCTCAAAGACTCTCTCCCTTGCTATAAAAGGCTTTTACATTTTAATTAGGAAAACAAGATTAAAACACAGAGCTCCTTATGACATTAATATGGTTTCATTCTTACTAATGAAGTATCCCGAGCCTAGGCAATTTTTTTTTTTTTATTCCATGCAAAGAGGTCACTTCCGAGTATTTCTCTAATCTTCAAATGTAGAGCAGTTCTGTTTGTTTTTCTAACCCTTCAAGTCGCAGTTACTCACACTTCAACATTCCTTCATTAAGTACAAGGACGAGCTTTGTTGCTATAGAAACGGGAAGTCTGCATTAGATAGGTAAGGCTTTGGCATTCCAATTGCATTGCTTAGGTTAGTATCAGATAAAAAAAAAAAAAATCAATCAAGAGAACAACTTTTATATGAAGTCAGAAAGAGGTGTCCAAATAATAAAACTGTATTTTATGAAGTCGCTAGTGCATAGTACATAACTCCATATGCAACAGTTATTCATTGTATAGAAAGAAAATAACTTCAGAGATTGTTTAGCATCTATCATCTCTGGATTATCACATGCATATGATCAATTTTTGCCTGTTCCTCTAAAATAGCTGGAGAAGACAAAAAAAAAATAATTCCTG